CCTAAGTGAGTTCCCATTCTTTCCACCTTAGCCCCACATGGTTTACACTATAAAAGTCCCTGGAAGAGACAGCTTCCAGGGGAACTACCCGCTCGGTCCCCCCTCCTGTCCCTCTCTTATACAGGAGCTTTCTTTCCCTCAATAAATATATTCTGCTCATTTAAAAAAAAAAAAAAAAACAGGAAGAGTGGCACAAAGACAGTAAATCAACTCTGGCCAAAACTCCTGATAATATGTTCTATTTTGATTTATATATCAATTAAATAAAGGAAAAATAAAAACAAACTATATAAGTTATGAAGTATAATAGTTGAAACCACAACTACAGTCAGATTTCAATACTTCTCAAAATGGAAGGAAAGAGAAGACAGAAAAAGAAATCAGGCAGGAAGGGAGGAAGTCCCAGAGCCATGTGTTAACTATAATTTGCCACAACTTTAGGAATGACCAAGCCTAGCTTCAAGAAAAGTTAGGGAAATCTGACAAAAGAAAATGAGATTATCATTACCAATTTATGTCAGTCATGCTTACTACTAAGAACTGGGTACTTGGTCATCCCCAAAAGACTGTGACACGCTGTTAACAAGAGAAAAAAGCTGTAAAGTATTGAAGAACCATTCTCTATCACAATATCTCAGAGAAAAATACATAATTATAAGCATCTAAGGGTGAACAACTCATCTTAAGTGACAGTGATTTTTTTCAATTCACTAAGGTTACTGAAAGAAAAAAAACTGAAATGAAAAACCTTTGCTACTTAGTCTAAAGTATATGCTAAGAAAGTGCAAATGTTTGATCTTGGAACAGTGATTTGTATACCAAAGAACACAAAGCTGAAACCCTCTCCCCAGACCCTATCCTAAGAACCCCTTTCTGTATTCTGTGAAATTTCCACAAATCTAAGATTTAATGTAATCTAATAATTAAAATAATAATCAGAAAAATTTGGTGAGTTTCTCTAATCTGTAATAAAACTGAATAGCTCTAATGTAAATCATGATGTATTCTTTTAGCTGTCCAAATACAATGGAATCAAACTGATTACTTAGGCTGAAGAATTTATTCTTTTAATTAAATATTTTCTGCATAATAAGCTCATGACAATATCAATAACATGTACAGAAGCTGAAAAAATATACACCTACATTTAAGGTGTTTGTTGTCAGAACATTCCTAATTGTACAGTCATTTTGCATAACAGCCACAATGATTGGTTAATTCTTATACCATTGTGAATTTGTGATTTTATTTGCAAAATGTACAAATGAAGTAAATAAATAGAATGCAAATACTTTTTATATCTTTGAAAGTCTCTATAGAAATCACATTTATCTGACTGTAATAAAAAGCTGTATTATACTTCAAGATAGGATTAAGTAAGCATTATTTTTAACTTAAGATTTTAATCTGCCACTTTTTTCAAAAAGTATTCCAAAAAACTGTTTAGTAAGGAGTAGATATAAGTTATCTTTGGTCAAATAGTTAAAATGGTGAGGTATATGTATATATGTTTTTGAGGAAAGTTTGACTACATTAATATAATTATATAGTAAACAGCACAGATTAAATGGCTAGCACTGAAAGATGTCAGACACTCAGTTCATCGACACTGAGTCTACAGCTAGTGAAAAATAAAACTTCACACAATGATTTTTTCAGAAATCCAAGTCTCAGGCCAAAGAGATGGCTCAGTAGAATAAGTGCCTCCCTGGCAAGTGCAAGGGTCTGAGTTCAATCCCAGTTCCACGAAAAAAAAAAAAAAAAAGAAAGAAAAGAAATCCTTGTTTCCTAAACCCTTCAAAGAGCATGATGACACCTAGCACAGTGACACCTAGGCTCCAGTACCCATGGGTAGATAACTGTGGTACAGCAATCTAGTGTATAAAAACAAAGTAATCATATGAAACCAAACAGCAGATATAGGAAAGGTTCACTTTAATTTCCAAAACCCTGTAGAAATTATACTAAATAGTAATGTTAAATGGGAATTTGCCTTATACTCAACTGGATTACTTGATCTTAAATAATATAACACAATCTCCACTGCAAAAATTCGATCCAATAAAATAAAAAACAACTATAAACACATTTTAACACACCAAATATTATCCTTATTTTTACAATGACATAATCAACATATTCACTAAAAATTATCATAATAATAGTGTATCAATAATATTCACTAGTGAGCTGGGTGTGGTGACACACTCCTCTAATATAATCTCAGAATTCGGGGGCTGAGGAAGGAATGTTGTCATCAGTTCAACGCCAGCCTGGGCTACATAGTGAGACTCTGCATCAAAAACAAAGAGAAATTCACTAGTGACAACAGAATATAAGGCATTAAACGACATATGGAAAAGTATATTTTAGATTTAAAAAATATCATTCGTAAGATGTAGTAAAACAGAATTTTATTTTTAAAATCCCAGGTAAGATGAATCTGATACTTACTACTAATCCAAATGATAATGGGAATTCTCAGACAGTATGCATGGTTTTGGGTTACTCTCTGGATCCCCCAAATTATGATAAGGAATAGCAAACTACATTTACATCACTAACTGCTGTCTTTTTTGTGGCTGGTCCATTTATGGTTTGTGTCTGGTCTTCCCTCCAAAGCCTCCTGTAGTCATGGGACAGACTTCTACAGTTTGTGATTAACTCATGATCCACTGGGATTATGGGTGTGAGTGCTGCTGGGATTAAGGGTATGAATACTACTCCCAGCCTGGGGCAAAGAGCCTGAATGCAATTTAAGGGAGACAGACTTGCTCTCTGTAGCCATTGTTGCTGCTACTCCTCCATTTTGCTCTCTGTTCTTTGCCACTGCCATGGAAGATTGCTCTCTGCCAGGAGTTGCTTTGCCTTGGAGCCCACTAAGTATGGACTGAAACCTCCAGTTTTCAGTCTGTGAGCTAAATAAATCTTTCCTTCCTTCATTTTGGGTGTCAGGTACTGGTCCCAGCAAGGAAAGAAGAGTAACTGAGACAGTCCAATTTAGACACAGCAAATGAGTATGGCTGCTGGAACCAGGCTGTCTACAGCTTGCAACCTGCCCCTCCTCTAACCACTTGTCTGCGCTCACTTCATTCATTATAGGCCTGACATTCTTCAGTGCTATCTAATGAACACATTTCTACACAGAATGGCCCAGGATAGAAAGAGCATCACATTCACAACTTACACTTTCTTTTTTGTTATAGTTGGTGTCTAGTTGTCCCCCCAAAGCCTTATGTAGTCATGTGGTGGCTTCTGGAGTTGTGAATCTTTTTTTTTTCTTCTTTTTTTAAATTGAGAAACAAATATCAATGAGATAGTTTCAAAGCTGATTAATAGAACAATTTCATTAATACCTTGTACCTTGTTATCTTCTTAGTGGTTATCCATAGTACAAGAAGCAGACAGGATATCCTGTCCAAATACTATTAGTACAAACCTTTCTTCTCATTGAATTAAGCAACAGTAGCTGTACATCTATCCTAACTATTCTGTATATACAAATACAAAATGGTCCTTCCTTTGTATCCCCAAAATGGCAGAAGGATTTTTTGTTGTTGTTGTTCGTTTTTTGGTTTTTTTTTTGGTTTGGCTGCTCAGGATGCCTTCAGGGCAGGTCTGGTTTGCTTGAGGATGAGGGGATGGAACCACAGCATCCTGAGCCTGCCTGCTTCATTTCAGCAGGCACTTAAACACCTGAGTTAATAGGCAGGCCTCCCTTGTGATTGATTCTCGATCCAATGCTGGGATTGCAGGTTTAAGTGCTACACCTTGGCATTAGGGTAGGTAATTTAAATTACAATGTAAGGAGGGGAGAGGGATGAGCTAGCTGTCTTAGGGGCTGCCACTCTCTGCTCTTGGCCACAGCCATGAACAGTTGCTCCCTGCCATGTGCCACTCTGCTTCAGAGCCAGCTGAGTATGGACTGAAACCTCCATTGACTGTGAGCTAATTAAACCTTTCCTTGATTTATTTCAGGTGTTATGTATTTGTCCCAGCAATGCGAGAATAGTAAGGGAGACAATCTTCCACTGTTTAACAAAAGGAAGACATACCAAAGCACAATATAAACAGGGAGTAAGAAGGGAAAGACATTCAAAGAGATTCCACTCTAATGTCCCTCATAAAAATGTAGTTCTCTGTGTTCTCAGTGTATGCTGCATACCTTTCTGCTAAGTCTCCCATACCAATTTCTTAACAAGACACAATTCAGAATGGAGGTTGATGCACTCCAAAATCTACTTATTCTTCAAAAATAAGTTAAATATTAACAGCTCTGTAAGGCCACTTTCAGTTTGTCACAGACATAAATAATTTTTCCACCTTTCACACTCAAAATATACTTGCATGACTACATCTATCTCTAGCTCAACAGTCTTTACAGCCATAGTCCTATGTCTTTTTCCACCAAAGCCCCTACCATAGAGCAGATACACTGAAATAACTACAACAGCATCATCACAAAAAGTATCAACAAATAGTATCAGAGGTTAGAGAAGAACAACAACAACAACAACAACAAAAATATGGCCACATTCAATGCTTATCTCAATTCAAAAGTGTCACCCATGCACATATGCACAGACAGCCGTCACAGACAACTGAGAAAAGACTTGTCCATAGGTTCTATATGATATCACTTTTCTACTGACCAAGTATCCAGAGAGTATGAGTTTACTCTGCTACTCGGCTGTCTCTAAAGAAGTATCTACTTTCATCTGAATAATTAACTGCACATTTGGAGAGATTCTTAACGATGACTATATAGCTAGGCATGGGTGTGAACACCTGTAATCCCAATACTTAGAGGCTGAGGCAAGAACTGAGAGTTCCATGCCAGCCTGGGCTATGTAAGTGAGGTCAAGGCCAGCCTAAATTACACAGAGAGACCTTTACTCAAAAAGAAATCAATAAAATAAAATAAGATGATGATAGAGAAGCAACATCCTGGTAACAGGCACATGACAAACAAGCTAAAATGCACCCCAAGCTCTGATTACCTGTAACGTTCACTGATGGGAACATTCTGAGCAAAGAACAAAGCTGCTGTCCGCGCTCTCCAATGCCATTTCTTTGCAGGAAGGGTATAAGGGACACAATCTTGTAACTCTTTCTGGAGAAGATCCACCAGCTGCTTATGGGAGCCTCCATAAAATGCCTCAATGATGAGAATACTCATTGCTTGACTCAAACTTTCAGATGCAATAACAAAAAGAAAAAAAAATGCCATTTTTTCAGATATATACATATATGACATTAAAATAAAAATAAGATTAAATTTTACTTTTTTTTTACTCTCAAAAAACACAAATAGATTAGTCACATGACTTTTTTTCCTCTTTAAGGCATGGTCTCACATATGTAGCCCAGCCTGGCCTCAAATTCACACTGATCCTCCTGCCTCAGCCTCCAACTCCTGGAATTACAGGCTTGCAGTATTACATCCAGCAGTCACAGGATTTTTTAAAACTTATTTCACCTTTTAAAAAACAGAAACACTTAAATTTTACATTTTTATTATCAATATTTTCATATGTAATAAGAAATTAAAATGTCTATTCTCTGATTTCTGTTTTTTTCATGTCCTAAGATTACTTCTACTATGACTTTTAGTTTTATCACCTACCCCAAGAAGCTCGAAACTCTCTCAAGCTGTGACTTCTCACTTCCTGGCAGGTCTGCCTGGCAGTCCCACTTAGTAACCTCAAGGCCTATTCCATGGACAGTTCCTGTCCTGGGCAGTAACTGAACTTGCCTCCTGATGAAGACTTCCAGCACAAGAGCCTTTCATATGCAATGGCCTTTTCCAGTCTGGAAGTTCTCTGATGCTGTATTAACCCATCTTTATATTTACTAGCTCTCTCTACTCTTAATGAGTCTGTATCTAAAAAAAAAATAACATTCATCTTCAAATATCTAATTTTTTCGATGCAATTTTAAGATACGATTCTTGAGATACTACACATACCTTGATCACTTCCCTGCTATGGTGTATTATCAATATCCCCTCTCCAAACAAACACTAAAAAAGTGCAATAAAATCACCAAGATTTCTACAATTTTATGTAAGACACATTAAAAGGAATAAAGTTATAAAGATAGGGTTCTTAAAGCCTTGATAAAATGTTATCACTCAGAATTGGTTATCAATCAATTTTTCATTTTAATAATAGATCTTTATGAGTTCAGTGAAATAAAAATATGTGCATGAATGTAAAAACTTCCATATATATTTCAAAGTATATGGTATTTCCTGTGTGAGTTAAGGGAGAAACACCATTTTGTGCATGAATGCTATATTGCTTAAGAAATATCCCAGGTGTTTGAACTTTCTTTTATAAGTGAAATAAAATACCATTAATTAAATAGCATACTGCTCTTTAAAATAATGCCACTTCATAATAATGAAAGTAATAATTTTATTACTTTCAATGACTCAATAATGCTCTTCATTAATGAAACTATATTTCACCTTGCTCAAAGTAATGCCTATTTAAAATATATTTCAAAGCAAAAAGTCTAAAGTGGTTCTCAAATAAATGGCTGATCTGACAAAAAGCTTCCTTTTTGACATATGAATCTTCCAGTGTGCATCTGTTGGGGAACTATGTGACTAGGTAAGTGTGTCTGTGTTTTACTCAGATGTAAATTAAAAGAAGTGGAAGTTGTACCTCAGCTCTGTTTCCTTCCTTTTTTCCTTCCTCCCTTCTTTCCTTTCTTTCTCATTTTTTCTTTGTTTTGTTTTCATTTCCACACAGTACCAGGGACTGAACCCAAGGCCCTTGTACTGAGCTACATCCTCAGTTCTTTTTTAATTTCATTTTTTATTTTGAGACAAAGTCTCCCTAAAGCACCCAAGTTGGCCAGGCTGTGTCAAACTTACCTCCCGCCTCAGCTTCCCAGAGTTCTGGCATTCCAGCTATGTGTTACTAAACCAACAGCTCTATCACTTTCCAGTTCTACAACCCTGAACAAGTTTGTAGGACTCAGTCTCATCTTCTCCACAATCAAGATAACTTTATTAACCTCAGAGGTGTACTGTGAGGTTAAAATTAGGTACTCAAAGCTTGCAAACAGAATCAGAGAAGTTAAGCTCTCAATTTATCTGTAGTATAAATCATTCTACCTAAGAAAAAAGGTTATCCTTGAATCTTCCAGCATTATAAATCTAGCAGTTTTCAGTTGTGGCCCCCATCCGTAGATGAGAAAGCAGGATGCATGCATTCATTGAAAATGCAATGATTTTTTACATATTTTCTTGTATTTCAAATACGAATTTGTGAGCCCTGCAGGTATTACAGGTAACTGGTAAGCTCAGAGACTGAGCTACACAGAGCTCAATTTTTTCAGGCCTGTTGGAGACTTTTGCTTGAATAACACAATGTTCAGTGAGTTCTCAAACACATTCTAAGCTTAACAATTGTTAGCCATTAATCTTTCAAATGATAAAAAAATTTCTAGAAAGTTAATCAAGAACAGTAAAAAGAAATTTTGAAAATTATATTGAACACTTCAAGAAAGATTAAATGCAATTTTAACATTAATTTGCTTACCAGATCACATCACAGATATCTGCTATCTTTATTTCCTCTGACCTAATCACACTAAGGTGTATATGTCCTGTTTATCCTTAAAAGATCATTAAATGGTTTTGTAAATGACTTGAGACATTTCCCCAAGTGATAGAATGTGATATAAACCTCTCTAAAAATATATTTTATTCCTATAATCTCAAAGCAATATCAATAGTAGAAAAAAATAGCTTTCTGATTCGTCATCATTCTGCCCTTTCCATGATTTATCTCAAGTATGCATCATGCTATAGGTTCATTTTACAGATGTTTCTTAGGGGTCTGAATCACAAGTTATCTGCAAACCATCAGCCACTGTGGAGACGGTACGTGTAGGTGCTGCTATAGACTCTTGACTCTCATTAAGCAGAACTGAAGATCAAGCATGTGGGAGGTTGAAAAATATAAAAGGGCAAAAGAAAGATTATAGCTACAGAAGATTTCCACCCCTTTCAGTAAAAAGAGTGAAACACACGGGTTTGAACTAGCATACATTTGATCATTTTTCTAGTGGCCAAAGGGTGTGTAGGCATCCGGGGTATTTTTCTAGGGACCGTAACTATGTCCTACCATCTCTAAAAACTATACTTAGTGGCTCTGATTCATGGAAATTTGTTCTGCTTGTTTTGTGGAGACAGACATATCCTGGCAGTTCCTCCTACTTACTTCTATTCCAACTTTTGCGGAAAGAAGAAAATGTGTTCTTCCTGTAGTCTTCTTGAAGCATGACCTGGAACAAAGATAATTCCTATTAGGTGCAAATAAAATAGGGGAAGCTGATTTCTAAATATAAGATTCAAACCAAATGTCATTATCACATATTAAAGTATAGTTCAAACGTTTTCACTTGCTTGGAATTCTACTTTAGAAAACACTGTTTGAAACAAACAGGCATGAGGTAGAAAAGAAGCCATTTTTCCTGTATGGTGGTTATCTGTTCAAATGTAAAGGGATTACATAATCTGTCATTTTAGAATAATTAGAGAATTAGGGCAGGTGGTCCCCTCATACCACAGAAGTTCACAAATAGACAACATGGATGAAAATATTTTTGAACCACAAGCAATAGCTAGTAAGAAGAAAATATTAGCAAGCAGCAGTAATAGGGCCTCCACCTTGAAAGTGCTAACTTCAAATGAAGGACTGGACCTCCTAATGTTGCAAGGCCAGGGCAAGGTATCCAACAAAACACGGCAGTGAGCATATACAGAATGAAATGTCTTACATAGGTGCCTGAGTTTATGAATCCGTTAAAACACTTTCATATGTACTACCTCCAATGTTAAACCCTGAAACTTTTAAGTGGAGTAAATTTATCAAACAGGGGTGTGTGAGATTTTAAAATAAGCAAAAAAACACAAACAATTAACAAGTCCATGGTCTTTCTGTACAATATTCAGAATATGTTGTGACATTAAGAAAAAAATACATGGCCACTCCATCTTGCTGCTCAGAAGACCAGACAAAATACTCCGGATAAACTGTTAGCAACTTCTAAGTTTTTTCTGGTTAAACAAGTAAGCTTCTGTTAAAGAAAAATGTACTTCTTTAGAACATGTTATTCCCCAGTGATAATAGATGAATGAAAACCTACTATACTATTAAAGCTCTAAGAAAGTTTAACTCATTTTCAATACTATGATTTACTGATACATGGCTAAGTGCTACACATCTAATTTGGCAATGTAAAATAAGTCAAAGTGATATCTGTGACAGAAATTTTATACCATTTTGAATGCTATTCAAAATTTCCAAAGGACAAAGTGATCTGTTTAAGAATTATCTGCCATACTAAAAATTTACATATACAATTAAAGTGACCTAAAAAGAAAAAAGTCACAATATTTTATACAATATTGACCAAAATGAAAAGGCACCATTAGCACTGCCTCAATTAAAATCTAATAATGCGGTGATAGGATAGAGAACAAAAAGTAGCCTGAAACCAATGCTCTGAATATTTTTAAATTTTTATTAAAACTTTTTGTCATTGTACCTGCATTTATTTTAAGCTTGACCCAATTTCTTTATTCCCTGAGCCAGATCATTTTCAAGGTGAACTACATTTTTGTCTACTCCTGTAGCAGTTACAAATGCTGTGGTAGCTGAAAAAAAAAATTAACAGCATAGATGCAGGAAATTTGCAATATGTCATTGGTTTGCTGAGAAAAAAAAAAAAGATGTGCTAAGTATAATTGAATCATTAATTCAAAAATAATACAAGTAAATATAAGTCACATTAAAAACCAATAATTAGTCCTCATATATAATGTCAAGCCAGGTGCCAATATTATTCAGATAATTTTCCAATAAAATACTCATTAATAATTGTAAATCAGAGGAATTGTTGTACTAATATATTCCATAGACACCTTACTGCTATTACTTGTAGGAAGGTATAGTTTCAGTGAACATGTTTGGAACAACTTTAATCCCACACACATGAGAAACTGATGCCACAGGTTAACCTGCACAGAGCTTGAGGTCTTAAAACTTCAACTAATTGCTGAATATGTATTTTCTATTTATCTATATGCAATATTTGGAAACTTACACCTGGCAGAACAAAAATCAGTGAGCTTAATGCTAAATGGCTGAAATGGAGGGCAGTAAAGTTTGAGTAGGCTTTACTAACAGGTCAGCAAAGGTTTAAGTGGTACTTTCTATAGCGGCCTTTTCCCCACCTCTTGCCTTCTATACTTCCACTCACTGACTCAAACACGCCCAGGTTCTATTTAAAAAGCAACTAAACCCAGCAGAGTAAAATAGGGCAGTGCTGAGACAAGTTAGTATTACCTTCCAGCCCACTCACTTATTTTAATGATTCATTGGGGAAACCCCGCTTGTTAAAATATACCTGAAATCTCATTAAAGACAAAAAAAATAAGCACATAAGAAATTCTGCTTTGAAATGTGTCACTAGTGACTCCCTTAAGAAAAACTACCATAGTTTCACATGAATTAATAATACATTTTTCTTTTTAAAATTTCCTTAAAGTAACAAGGTACACTTGAATACATAAGAAAAAAAGAGACAATGATTAACAGATTCTACTAAAAAGTTGGTTTTTAATAAAAATCAAGAATAGCAAATTTCTCTTAATTCTCTAGGCAGGTGCTTATGCCACTGAGCTATCTCCCTGGCCCCCTCTTAATCCTTTAACACTTTAACATAATCTCAAAATACTGGAATATCATCCAGTTTCAAATGAGAAATAAAAATTTAAAACTATATGCAATAAGAAATATTTTACAAGACTGAGTATGGTGGCATGCACCTGTAATTCCAGCACTTGGGAGGCTGTAAATAGGAGGCTCACTACAAGTCCAATCTAGTAGTGAGACCCTGTAGACCCCATTCTAAGAATACAAAATAAAAAATAAAAAAATTTTAAAATGAAAAAAAAATTTACATATTTCTTACAATGGTCTAATAGTAAGAAATGAGTCATTTTCCTCTGTATTAGTTTGAAAATGCAGATAACAACTAAGAGAAACTGAATGTTATTTATTTATTCGGCTTTGTTACTTAGAACCTCCCATTTATAACTTGGGTATTGTACAATCATATGTATTTAAATAGAAACAAAATCTTAAGCTCAAATTTTAAAAGATATACTCTAGCATTTTTATCCTCACAATACTCTCAATATTCTAATTTATTCATGCCTGACCTTTGTTTTCTATTATAAGTAAAAAAGTAAAAATTTGTGCATCAAAATCAACTTTGTATTAAGACTTAAATGTTATAATGCTTTAATTTAAAGTGAGTTCTTTTGGGGGAGATGGATAGTAGGGGTTGAACTCAGAAATCTGTGCTTCCAGGACAGATATTTACACCACTAAGCTGCCTCCTCAGGCTAAAAAGGTTTCTAATGTACTTGTCCATCTCTTACATACATATATTGATAAAGTTCCAATTTTATATGTATGACTATATGACTAACCTTTGCCTGATGTATATGTCTATTCTTTCTTGATGTGAGATTTAAATTTTTGACAAAAATATCAGCCACTTATTCCATAACTTGAATTAACAGAAGTCCTGATTATAAAACTCTAATTTCAAATTCAATTCAACAAATAGTAAGTACCTTACCATGTACTATAATTCAGGTGTTTTCAAATATACATGATTTCCACAATAACTACACGTATACAGATTAAAATCCCTCTCTTTACATTTTTCTTAATTGCAATTCCACATTATACAGCAACTTATGGCTATGGACTTTTAGACTTAAAGACTTTTCTGAGGTCTTTAGTAGCATAACTTCACTAACAAAACTTTTCTCAATTTTTCATGGCTATTATGTCATGAATAATTTCAAACTTTATAAAAGTAAAAATGACTTAGTTCTACTGAATATTAAAGATAGTTTTGATGTGTTACCAATTTTAAACATACCTGCCGTGCTGGCCCTGCCTTCGGGGTGCACTGAGACAGCAACTGAGACTGGGCATGGAGGCACCTGCCTGTAATCCCAGCGCTTGAGGCTGTAAACAGGAGGGCCACTACCAGTCTGATCTACTAGTGAGAACCCTGAACACCCTTTAGACCCCTCCCTAAAATACAGGGGGAAAAAAAGGCAACATCTATGGATAAACAGAAACTTTTACATTGGAAAATCAGCTCATCAGTCAAACTAGCATTAGCCTTTTAGTTAGCATACAGTCTTCACCTTCTTCATACGCCAAACACAAATATGTTTTTCCAATTGGAAGTCTGATCGTAAAGTGCCAGGCTCCAAAACTTGCAATGTCACTGTCAACTAGTAATAAAATCAAGAATCATTTTGAGCCATTCCTTTCTCCTCGCTACTGCCACATTTGCTTTTCACCAACTTCAATCTTTCTAGCCCCACCTCTTCAGACAGCATCACAGCAATATTGAGCAAGTACCCACAGTCATTAAGTGGTACCATCCTATGACCTCACATCATTATCTCTCTTCTGTCAGCCTTCCGTTTGGATCTGCCTCGTGAAATTTAGTTAAAATTTCTAATCATAAATCACAATTCCTATGAAGCCTTTCTCTGAACATGTCTGAGACACCACTTTATTTCTACTATGTACAATAACATTATGCTTATTTTATGCTGTGGCCCTGTCCTGCTTTTCTATGGGGATGTAAAAATCTGGAAGATGGGACCCACAGCATTACTTAACATAGTGGATGTCAATTCTGAACTCAAAATCAGAAGAACTCAGGAAACTGATTTTGTAAATACCCTTAAAGTACCACTGCTTTCCTTTGAAACAGATTCTGATTAAACAAGTGTTAGGCAGTACTATACTCACTAGTAGTGATACCAATTACTCCCAAAATCTCTATCAGTAGGAACCGCACTTGAACACATTTTATAATGATTCCTTTTCAAATACTGTTTTTTTTTTCCATATTTTCACAAGTCAAAACTTACGTGAAATAGCTTTGTAATCATGTGTATCTATTTCACCTACTAATAGAAAAAAATAATGTTTGAAGAAATGGGAGATACATCGATAGTAATTGGATTCTAAGCTAACACAAGTTTCATGGCTTAAGAGAATATCTGCGAGATCCATGAATTGTAAAAATCACCTGCAGTTTTTCATTGTGTTTAATCAATTATCATCTGACTTTACTTCTACAAGCAGAAGTAGGATACGAAGACAATTCTCTCATCATCAATCTGATGGTCCCACTCCACATATAGTAATTAAGCTTTTATTTAACAGAAAAGAAAA